TTTAGCTGCAACACCAAAAGTGTGTGTGTGTTTGTGTGTGTGTGTATGTGTCCAACAGATAAGATATGGCATATATATATATGTATAAATATACATCTGCATTAGCATTAGCCAGTTCACAAAAGCCAGGGACAATCGAGCAGACAAGACTCCCAAGCAAAGCTAAACATATATGTGCATACACACACACACACACACTCACACACACACACACACATATATAGAGTACATCATCATGCAAATTGGGGGCATTTCAAAAGTTTTAGTTTTTAGGCCTAAATAATCCGAGTGCCAACTTTTATGTAAATCTCTTCACTTTTGCGCCCTCAAAAAAATATATAATAAAAAAAAAAGCCGAAATATGTAAAAAATAATTACAATATAAAAAGGTTTTATTCATTATAACAGGTTTCATTCGGTTTGGTTCATTTGATGCCCTTGCCATTGGACGGGTATTCAAAGTTTTTTAAATACTTTTGTTGCACATTTCACAACTTGAACTTGAAGAGCCCATATTTTAGATGGTATATGCAGATACATATATATGGATATATGTGGATAGATAAATGTATGCATAGACATAGAAATATAAATGCATATAGATGTATCATTAATTATTTATCTGGTTACATATAAAGATATTCAATTCAATGGCAAATATCTCAGTAAATTTAGAGACAACAAAATTGATCTATAAGAAAACTAAATACAAATACGTTGTTTTATCTTTGTATGAAAAATCAAATAAACTTTCTATGAATCTCAACTATCTAGAAATAACGAAATATGCATCAAATCCACATATGCATAAAATCCACATTGAATAAAGCATTCGATTCCCACAACTTATGTTCAGATATCCAAAAATGAACTGCTGTTAAAGCTAGAATTACAAAATCTTCAAAATTTATTTGGATAGCTGGAGCGAGTGCGAGCCAGAGAAACCCCAGAAGCAGAATCTTGCTTATACTAAATAATTATGCAATTAAAATTATTATTAAATAATAATATGTATTAAAATATAATATTTCTCATATACAAATATTTTGCAAAGGCAGAGCATTCAATGGTCATCTTGTTTAAATGTGATTTTTCTTTTTTTTCCACAAACATATTTATTTCAACTTCTATTTTACATTTGCATACTTCATACATATGCCATGTGCAATAAGTGCATTAAGTCTTCGCTTTCGGCTAAATTCAATGAATTTCCAATTTCCAAAATGGTTCCCAATTGCTGCAGATTACAAGATAACAGAATTTCTACTAGAATTCGCAAATAAAGAAATTCCAAATAGAGAATTCGCAAATAAAGCAATTCCAATAAGTCAAACATGGTAAGTCTTATAGGTTTGCACAATCTTATCAGATCGAACAGTTAGAGTGTCTCAGCTTCGCGCAATGGATTTTTCGCCTGCTTCTTCTGCCTCTTCTTTGCTTTAAGTGGAGTCAAAGGGTGCAAATACAAGCACACGCACACATAGGCACACACATACGCACATACGCACACCAATAGTTGTTGCCTTTGCGTATGGTTAATTATGAGTTGCTTAGGTGTTTTTGTTGCTGTTGTTTCTTCTTTATTTTAGTTTTTATTTTTGGCGCTTTGGCATTAAAAATGCGAGAGTATTTATAATAGTTGGCTAGTTAAGCTAGTTAGCTGCCCAATGGAGTCATTGGGTCAAGTTTTTCGAGAGCAACTGGGTCAAACGACAACAGCAGCAGCTGCTGCTGCAGCAGCGACAGCGACAGCGACGTCGACTGCGACGCACGCTTGGGATGTCCCGCATTTTCGTGCGCTGCTCCCAATTGGCAAACTTTAAAATGAAAAGCAAAAACAAATCTCAGCGTAGCTTGCCAAAATGAGAGCGTGCACACACACACACACGCACAAGCAGAGAGTRAGAGAGAGCCATGCATTCACACACATGCACATACAGACGCACGCACTGCCTAAGCAGCGCCGCGACATAATTGGAACAATTTGAGAGCCCTTAATGACGTCGACGTCGACGCTAGCGCTGCCTGTCTTTCGAATTCGAATTCAAATTCAAATTGAATTTTGATAAATCTTTTGTTTAGCTGTTGTTGTTGGTTTAATCATATGCACGCAGCAGTCACTCGCATAACCGATTTGACCTTAACAGCATTCACCTACCGGTTTTCTAGTGGCATCAAGATGAGGTCGTACCTCTTCCCAATACCCCACACCCGCTCGCCTGAGGCCCCCTTCCTCTACGCCCCTTCACTGTGCTTTTGCCCCCATTCATGCTCAAAGAAAATGAGTCAGTCGGTCGAGCTGTGATTTTGTTGTTGCTTTTGTGTTTGCGTTTGGTTTTGTTTTTACTTATGTTTTGCGTCTTCGCTTTGGCATGCCTTGCTTTCATTAGACCGCAAATCAATGAACCATTCCCAAAACGTTCCCCTGTAGGCCCCGTGTCCAATCAGGCACACGTTCTAGTTGGGCTTGCAAATTTGTATGTTGGTTCTAATAAGGCGAAGCTAGCTTTGAATGGATTTCCAGGTTGAATTCATTGAGAGCTGCGAGTTCCGATTGGCGTTTGAATGGGAGTTAATTGGATTTGATTTGTACAAACTGGCAATTGTTACTATATGAATGCATAGCTGCATAACGAATTATTATTTGTTTTTAATTTATTTAATACTTTTATTTAATGTTTATTTTTATTAGCATAGAAGCGGTTCAAATCTAAATATAGCTGCAAAGCAGATGCACATTTTAGCTCTAATTAGACCCTTTGCGTTGCTCATTAAATACAAGTCCAACCAACTAGGTTGGTTTGTGCGTACCCTAAAAACGCTGCGCCCAATAAGTCTAAGCTTGAGTTGGTTTCCGATTGGATCATGTACATACATACATATGTATATGAGCGCGCATTACTGTGTGTGTATGAGTGACATGTGCTTAAAGAACAAGAACAAACAGGCACACGAGACGACAAACAGACGGAACAGTGGGACGGCGGGACAGTGGGACAGCGGGACAGTGGGACAGACGACGTGAAACCACTTTCCACGGTGACACAGTTAAATGCTACGTGCTCTTTTGCTACTTTTGCTGCTGCTGCTGTCGCTGCTTTTATTACAACGAGCGTTGACAGCGAAGTCGGCAGCGACGCCGGCAGCGACGTTACTCCCATAATAGAAAGTGGAACAGGAATTTCCCTCCCAACATCAATGCCAGCAGCAGCAGCAGCAACAACAACTGCCGCAGCGATGATTTCATTTGCTGCAGCAGCAGCAACAGCAGCCGCCGCGCACATTGCGAAACACTTGCCACGGCCAACAAGCAAATGGCAACAGCAACAAAAACAACAGCAACAAACAACTACAACAACAGCCAAGAAAAGCAGGCAAGAAAAAGGCGTAAAAAATAGTTCAATTGTGGGCAGCGTTGCTCAGCTGAGCGCCAAGAGCAAAAGAGAGCGCGTCTAAACAAAAAAGAGAGTAAGAAATGTGTGAGAGAGAGTGGGAGAGGGAGAGAGTGCCAGAGAGAGTAGGCGCGTGAGCGTAATTTAAGTGAGAGCGCGAAATATCCAACTGGGCAGGCGGCATRCAGCATTTTTGTTTACGTATTGTTGTTGTTGTTGCTGCATTTGCTTTTAAATATATAAGCTATGTATTTATATATTTTATATATACAATTACAGTTTAGCTGCTTTCGCAATTACATCAAGCCTAAACTTGTGCATTGACATTTAATGCACACGCAACTTTCTTATTGGTTTCTAATTGCTGCACAAATTGCATTAAAACGGCGTGAATTAGTTTCTAATTATTTATGGCAAATGGTATGTCCCGTGCTGTCCCGTTCCGTCCCGTTTCGTTTCGTTTCGTTCCGCACACCATGCTCGCGCTCTCTTTGGTAAGTGGCACTCAGGCTGGCGTATAAATTTGTTTTCTTCTTTTTTTTTTGTGCTGACCTAATTATACGCTCATTTTGATTCACTTGATTTTCTCTGCTCACACACACACAAACACACACACTCATACGTTTCGTCACTGCGTCGACAAGTGGAGCAGCAGCAGCAGCAGCAGCAACATTTTGCGGTGGCGTCGGCGGCCCATTGGGGCAGGCGGCGACCGCAATTCTTAATTTTTTTTTTTTTTTTCATTTTTTATTTCTTGTGGTGGTTACTGGGACGTACATTATTGGGCTTCCGAAAGATATGTGTTTGGTACTCACACGCTTTAGACGCCTATTCGCGCACTCTATTTATGTGTTGTATCACTTTTCGTTCTAGTTAGTTGCCAATTGCATTTGTTTATGCGTTTTGTTTCGTTTCTTTTTTGTTGTTGTTGTTATTGTTTATCCTTCTTTTTTTGCGAAACACCTGCGCAATGCCTCCCTCGAAAATTCACTGCGCGCGTATTCTATTCGATCAGTTCGCTCTCTCGTTCGATTTCGATGCCGATTTTCGATGCCGTTTGCCGCTGCCGTTGCCTATTCCGCTTATTGGCGCTGGCGTCGACGACGCGCACGAACGAACTGAAACCCAAGCAAACTGCAATAGCTGGTGGAAGTACAAAATGTGTTTGTGTGTGTGCGAGTGTGTGTGTGTGACAGAGACGCGTCGGACAGACCGACAGACAGAGCGAACGTCTCTTGCTGCTGCTGCTGCCTGTCTGACTGGCAGTCTCAGTTTCTGTTTTGTTTTGGGACGGAAATGCCAGTGGCGTAGTCGCCGCTCCATTTTCGTTTAGATAAAAAGGGGGTTTCAAAAATAAAAAATAATGGTACATA